ACACTCACACTCACACTCACACTCACACTCACGCACACACACATATACACCCACAGAAAATTGTTGTTTGAGGGTTGCCCTTGGCTGTTTGTTCGATTTGTGCTTGACGAATCTGTTGTACGATGATCGGTTGTTTGTCAATTTAATTGGTCGAGATAGGTGAACATATATATATATACGTAGTATTATATATATATATATATATATACATATATATATATATCTGCATGCTCATAATGGTCTTGCATTCTGCCATCACTTGCCTAAAGGATTCCTTTTCACGAGACGGCACAGAATGGAATCGCATTGGCAATCCGAATCCTATCACCTATCGGAAGTTTCGGGTATTGCATCACAAGGGTGCAGGTCGGTCTCTATCCGATAGTCATCGTCATTGTAGTAATTTTTGTAAACGTACCCGTAAATCCCAACGCATACGAAGCCGGTCATAAACAAAAAGATCGTGTCCATGTGTGTCATGAAGTTGTTGTACCGTTCGCCATGTATTATCGCCCTCCGGGGGAAGGTGATCTGCTTGCACATAACGGTTGCCCACTCCATAGATTCCCCGAAAAATCCCTGCTCGGCAAGGCGATACAGGACGTCGTCGATGAATTGCAAAAAGTGTAGGGCGGCGAAATTCAAAAATATATTTAGGGTGGTGTTGGTACAGAGCATGAGAAAGAAGTTGACGCTCAGGCTCAGGATACCGTCAACAAAGCGGAGACTGTTTGCCAACGTCCACTTGAACAAGGAGGCGTCGACAAATCTTCTGCTGACCAATCCGTCGTATCGCTTGCAGGCCGTGTTATAGAAGACGGTTATGAGGTCCTCCTGCATGGAAATTGCCACCGGAATCAGAAAAAACTTGACTACTTGGACCATTATGCACCCGTGGTACTGGTTATCCATACTGATGTTGCTCATCAAGATTCCGAAACAAATGTACTTGGTACATATGAAGTATATGGCAAACCAGAATTCCTTCGACCAATAGGGACAGGCAAAGACGAAGGAGTATATGTCCTCCGATATGTTCAATCGTTCCTTGTCCTGAAAGGCATTGACGCCACGCATCTCGAAATTGATGATATCGCGCGAGGCGTCTTCTTCGATCATCCTATCGATCTCGAACGACGTGCGCTTTCGTTCGGTATTGTTTGGGCTGCGAACGGTTGTAAAATACTCGATCGAGGCTTCACTTATGTTTGAAATATGTCTGGGATACTTGTTGTTTACTGTCGAAGCTACCGATCTGTTTGAACTTTGTTTGGGAGAAATAAAATGTATTGACGTAGCTTCCGATATGTTTGAAATTTGTCTGGGATACTTGTTGTTTACTGTCGAAGCTACCGATCTGTTTGAACTTTGTTTGGGAGACATAAAATGTATTGACGAAGCTTCCGATATTCTTGAAACTTGTTCGGAAGAGCTATGATTAATTGCCGAAGTTTGCGAACCGTCTGAAATTTGTTTGGAAGACCCAGGATTTATTGACGATGCAGCGGCAGGCGGAAATATAGGGCTGCACGAGTCATCGAAGAGAAACGAGGAAAGATCCATGACGCCGAAGGCTTCTTCTTCTTCGTCTATTTCAATTTCTTTGAGGTGGAGTTGCCTTGTTGTTTCGCGGTCGATATCGTTGTCCTTGGCCTTCACACGAGGCATACCAACAGTTGTGTTCTTATCGTTGGAGACATACGGTAGAAACGTCTTGAACTTTGCAAAAGCGGCAGAAGTTCTAGCGGCGTCGTTAGAGTCAGCGGTTGCATCGGGGCTGCCGACCTCCTCTGTTTGCTCGTGTTCGAGTTCTTTGGTCGCGGTCATGGCCCAACTAGTTTACCTGGTGCATGTGCCGAGGTTGGTTGGTCGACAGCTTAGAATGGATGCGGTACCGCACAATAAAGGAAAGCACCGATGGCTTCTTCCAATGAAAATCAAATTCTATCGGCAGTTCAAAGCTGCTTTTATCAATGGGACCTTTCGTCCCGAGTGCATGGATTTGTTTGCGGTATGGCAGGAATTTTCTTTTCTGCTCGCAATTTAACATCACATGATGTGGAACATACAGGAGATCGTCAATAACTAAGCCTTGCCGTGCCTCCGTTGCGACGTAGTAGGAACTGTGGGGCGAGTGCCCGTCACGGGAGGGTTCCCAACGCGACGCAACTTCGCACAAGACTGAAAAAATGTGTCACGAGCAATTTTGTCGGCCTGGTCGTGGTATACCGGTAGCCCGCTTTGGTCGCGGGTACGATGAAACATGACCGGAAAGGCCAAATATGGCAGAACAAACTACAGTATCGATAGATTACGTACCGTACGGTACGAGTAAAGAGTACGTACCGTATGTTCGATACGTGCCACCTGGTAACAGTACGAGGTACGAACCCAAATGAGGTGGAGACAGGTCCGGAGCCAGTACAAATTTTACACGGCTCTACGGATGGAACAATACACCTCATTAGGGTTCCTGACTTGAACCTGTCTCACTTTTAAAAAAAACAATAAGTAATTTTTATATCGAAATATTTGGTAGTACTAATTTGTACGTAGGATGCTACGATACTGATATGGATAACTTTAATTGAAAAAACACTTGTTGGTCGATTGATCTGAGACTTCCGGATCCCCTTCTTATCATTATAATGAAGTTATTCCAGCATATGTGTGGAGGGTAAGTCTCCCCAATCGGTCTGTCTGGAGGGTGAGACAACCCTCAGGCTGGTGTTTTTTTTTCTGACTAGTAAAAACTGCGTGGTTTTCTTGTACTCATAACCTATCTTGGATACGATCCACACATTAGGGTTCGTACCTCGTACTMGTATGAGTGGGCAGTGCGAACACCTTATCTTTTGTACAGTACTAGTACCCCATTTTTGCAACCGATATTGCAAAACAGTCGAAGGAGTCTGTAGGTACTTAAAATACGTACAATTCTACGTAGGCTATAATACCCCAACTGATCCCACTCCATTTACCACCGTACTCACATTTCCTACAAAAATTTTAGGTAGGATTTCTACTGTGCAACCGTATTAGCTTTTCTGCTGTGGTCGCATCCGTACCTCTTTTGGTTGCCTAACACAGAGCAAATTACACTGAGTATGCAACAATTTTGCAACTCCTCCTTTGCCTCGTCACGATAGGTGCATTATTTTTGCTCACAAAATTTTGCTCACAAAATTTGCAGCAGCAGTCCTCGCATACGGTTCAAGCAAAACCCCAAGCAAGCAAGCAAGCAAAGCAAATACTGCAAGAACAAGCAAGAAATACTGTAAGTATTGAATATACTGTAATTATCGAATATAGCAAATACTATACTAAGTATTGAATATCGAAAAACAGCAGCAGACACAAGAGTATCCTCGCAGCCCCGTTGACTCACAAGAGGTGCATTTTTTGCTCACAAAATAACAGCAACGCCCACATACGAGTTAGTATCGAGTATCGCATAGGAGTAGTACCGGTTCAAGCAAAACCCCAAACAACTACTAAGAACTACTATGGTAACAGCTCAATCACGACAGGCTCGGAAAAGAAGGGGGGGGGGGCTGTAACGCCTCCACGAGATGTGAACCAACCAGGACAATGGGGGCGATACCATAAGGTTCTGCTTGAGTTAATGGATCATGTACACGGAAGAGTGGATGAAGGAGGAGGAGACAACGATAATTGGTTTCCGAATGATACTCTATTCACAGATGAGCAGTTGAGTATTCTAACACCAGATCATATCTACAAGTTTTTTGCAAAGAAAGTGTTTGGTAGGGAAGATCCTGGCGTTGACGATAATCCTACTGAAGGAAGATCTTCATCCCTTGTTTACTACAAGAAGTCATTATCCTATTTCATGCCAAACAAGCTGCACAAGTGGACTGTTATTGCCGGTGTTGGCAGTGGAAATCCTACTAAGTCCCAGCAAGTTAATGATCTTATCGCAGCTGTTATCAAGAAGGAAACCAGAGGGCTTGGCCAGGCAAGCAAGATGGATCGACCTCTTACAAAGGCTGAGTTTTTGCAAACCCTTGAACTAATGGGGAACCATGGACATTTAATTAAAAGACTTCGATATCTTGCAATGATTAAGTTTCAGTTTCATCTGATTGGCCGGAATGATGATACAGCACACGTTGGAAAGGACAGCTTGGAAAGATCTGCTGAATTTCCTAGATTCCTTACAGCAAAGATGAAGTGGTCTAAGAATGTGAGAGAAGAGAGGGACTGTCCCAAACAAATCTTGCTTGGATCGATGGATCATCGATCATGTGTTGTACTGGGGCTTGCCTTGTATCTTGAAAAGTGGTGCAAAGGTGACGGAGCAGCAAGCCAATGGCTATTCACTGAAGGAGTTACAGATAGGAGATCACCACAAAAGGATGTTGCAAAAGAGGTTAATAAAGGAAAGGCTGCATACTCTAATTTCATTAAGCGCAACGCGTTCAAGAATCCTGTCTTTGTTGCTGAAAGACCACCTTCTGAAGGCTTTCTTGGTACTCACTCTATTAGGAAGTTTGCCACCACCTATGCAAGACAGTCTGGTTGCTCAAGGGATGATGTTGATTATAGAGCAAGATGGAAGTCTCGTAGGCAACAGGATCGGTATACGGATACACAGCTTGCTTGGCCTGACGTTAATGTTGCTGCTAAGCTCTGCTTTGGAGGCATCTGTTACTACAAGCCTTTGCAAGGAACGGGAGTCACCGATGAGTGGCTTGCTGCTTCAGTTGCTCCTAATATTGCCAATGTGTTTGGTAATCAAGTGGCTGAAATTCTAGGAAAGGTGTTGCTTTGGGCTTGCTGTGATCCATCGATGCAGGCATCCGGCTTAATTCCAGAGGATGTGCAGCGTGACGTTGTTGCTTCTTGGGTTCAACTCAATCACAGTCATGGTCCTCAAAGATTAGATGCTGATGTGAATCCTATCAAGAAAGTTGAGCTGATTGTCAATGAGATCAGTGGGCAAGTTCACTTTGATGAGCTCGCTGATCCGGATGAACTGCTGAATGGTGGTGGTGGAGGGGGCGGAGCCCCTGGAGCTGCTGGAGGGACTGCTGTTGGGATTCGACGCACTCAGTTGCAGTGGAACCATGCAATGTTTTCCAAGCTGTTTGCCACCGCTATTCAAGTGAATGATATTCAAAATAGGCAGATTGCAGTTGAAGCCAGATTCAATCGCAAGCTGAATAGAGCCATCGAGCTGTCCCAAAGAGCTGCTATGGCCCCTGTAGCAAGACGTCGGATCGTCCGAGCTGTAAACAGTGGCGCGTCGGAAGCTGGTGCAGGAACTGACGGAGTAGCGGAGCTGTGCAAGTGTCCTAATGATCTTTATGTCTTGTGGAATGAATGGGAAGTGGGTGTTGGTGGTCTTAATAAGCCTGCAAAGGAGTTTACTGCGGCTGAGAGAGGTCGTGTAAAGAGCAAGTACTGCAGGCGGTTGAAGTTCTGGAAGTGCATGGAAAGACTCATCAGAGCTGGTTGTTCTTCTGAAGTGGCTGTAAGAAGAATTTATGCAGTATATGGAGGCCCTTCCAAGCGCGTTTCATTCATTCTTAGAGCAATGGCACCCCATGAAGCTGTTGGGGGACACCACTTGCTCCGAGGACCGGCAGCTGCTTCTTACTAATTGACGCGTTGACGCTTTGTTCTTTGTTGCGTGTCTTCTTTTTTCCTTGTTCCTTACTACTTCTTGTCCCCCCCCTTATATAAAAAAAATCATAAAAATATAGTGTAGTACTGTGTATATGTTAACTGTGAGTGCTGATTTGCTATCCTCAACAAGAGGACCATCTTATTAGCTGACAGGAGCGTTAGTATTGACAGTGTTGTTCTTATCGACGTGATTGTCGAGAGTTACTCTCCCAACTTGGTTTTTTTCTATAGAATTTGCCTTGTGCGTGATTGTGTGAGTACTTCTCATCAAACACGCTGATACTCCAGCACTCCAGTCTTGCCGCGCACTGTCTATAAGACCTACGAGTCTTATGTACTGTGTTCTACACGGTTGCATTTTTAGTTATATTTTCTTTTGGTACTGGACTAGTACTAGTACTTGTACTTGGTAACGGTATTACTTCTGCTTCTAGTACAGTTGTAACAATACTGTATTCATGCGTCATGAAAGGTCATAACTGTATCAGAGAAAGGCAGGCATTCGAAAAGGAAAAATCCTGCAGTCTTTTTCGGTTCTCCACGATTGGGATTTCCTTACGACAAAATATGATGGTAATGAAATGTCAAAATCATTTTACTATGTATAGCATACATTGTACGACCACATCTTCCAATTCCACAACACGAACAGAACAGACCTGGTGGAACCTGCTTCAAAACAAGACTTCCAACAACGCAATCGGATCAGATAGGAGAAAACTCAAAAGAAATATATTTTATAGCTTGTCGTTTTTAGAACATTACTCAGAATACTACGTACTCGATCTGGTAACTTTTGGTTGGAGTTCTCGCAGTTTCCTTTCTTCGTTTGTTCAAAAAACCATCAAGGAAAGAAGTTACAGAATCAAAAATGAAGCCCGAACTGTTTTGGTCGTCGCTTTCGCGGTTTCGTTTCGATGCCGCTCGCAGTGCTTCCGTCGCACCGAGTGCGGCCGCGTATCTGCTGGTAAACTCAGCTTTGTCCTAGGTTGCGTCCCTGCGTTTGGGAACGCAACGCAACCCAACCACCATTCCGTCGAATTGCACGGCGTTTCGAACTCGGGGAAAGATATTTGCGTGCTGCCTCACAAGCTCCAAGCTTGCAAGCAGCAAGAGCATCCGCCGAAGATCCCCATGAGTAACATGAGCGCTAATAGAATCATTAAGGGACTTCCATCATTTCGGCGTGTGGAATGGGGAGAGGAGACGAAAATTTGCGAAAAAGAACCAGATTGTGGCCAGCGGTAGTAAAAGTACGAAATGGCTTTCCCCCGAGTGTGCAGGGTGATGGCAATGGTCCCGGTAACTCAGTCGTGTTCTTCGTCCTGGTCGTTGTCTTCTTCCGGGTCGTTCTCTTCGTCCTCGAGATCCTCCTCCGTGTCTCCATCGTTTTCGTCCTCCTGTGCTTCTTCGTCGTTCTCTTCGTCCTCGAGATCCTCCTCTGTGTCTCCATCGTCTTCGTCCTCCTCGAGATCCTCCTCCGTGTCTCCATCGTGTTCATTCTCCTGCGCTTCTTCGTCGTCTTCGTCCCCGAACTCCTCCTCGGTGCCTCCATCGTCTTCGCCGTCGCTTTCGCCGTCTTCGTCTTGCTCCTCCTCAATGTCATCGACGTCGTCGGCGCTGGCATCTTCGCAGTCCTCGGTGTAGCCGTTGAGTGAAAACTCTTTTCGGGCCTTGCAATACCGATGGAAACTCCCGTCCCACCACACCCCACCGCGGTCGTAGTCCCATCCGTGGTCGTAATTGTAGCGGTGATGGGCTTCTTCCGAGCTTCCCCGGTCGAGAATGGCCTTTCGTTCCGATCGCCTCCGTTCGACCGCTCCCTCGCTGCCGGTGTTGCCGTCGCTTTCGCTGCTTGGATCCCCCTGGTGGTCCGGCAGGCTCGACCAATCCGGAACGTAAACGTACAGCAGGGATTCCTCGTAATCAATGAAGACGCCCTTGTTCGTGGCGACGGGCTCCCAAAACGAAGAAGACACGGGGGGAGGAGGAGTCCCGATGGTCAGTTGCTTGAGGACGACGTGATCGATCGCTTTTTGCCAGTTTTTGTGGTCGCCGCTGCCTCCTGGCGCATCCCTTCTACCGGACGCCAAAACCGCGGCCCTCCCCCATCGCTTGCAGATGTCGTGCTGGACCGTCGGTTCGAAGTGAACGGCGTTCCAGAACAAGATCTGGCGGTATCGTTTCTTGCGTTCCCAGGCCGAAGCCGAGAGCATTGGTCCGGACCATTCCGGGGACGAATAGTAGAACGCGATTTCGTCGTTGTCTTCTTCCTTGTCGTCTTGCTTCTGCTTGCTGTTGTTGCCGTTGGAATCGTCGTTGTCGTTCTCTTGTTTTTCTTTCTTCAGCACCACCTTGGCCACGATCCGCGTGTTGGAGTCCTGCACCGCCGCGTACATGCTCCAGGGCCCCTGCTGGATTCCCCAGAACCTCCAGAACCGGTCGAGGCCGACCAACACCGGGTGGTGGTTCTGCAGGTCCCGGAGCCCCGGCAGCACTACATCGTCGTAGAACCGATCTGCCCTGGCCCGGGCGCTGGTTTCGTCTCCGGGAGCCTCCCGATCTCCTCTTCCTTCGTCGTCGCTGTTGCTGTTGCTAGAGCAGGACGATTCGTGTTCGTCTTCGTTCTCGTTGGGACAGGACTCTCCGGTGCTTTCGTCACTGGTGCTTGTTCGGCTCTCGTAGTCGAGCGGGAGTGCAAACGCTAGCGCGCCGGAAACCCTTTCCTCCAGTGAAAAGAACCAAAAGGGTGGATGCCACAGTGTGTATTCGGGAAGCGTGGAGACGACCACCGAGGTGGCCACCGCGAGGGGAAGCAGCGTGTGGAAGAGAACGCTCGCCGCCAGGAGAAGCAGCCCCTTCCGGTTCGTTGTTGCGGATGCAGGTCTTTGCTCCTTTGTCTTCTGTTTGGTGTTCATGTGCTCTCTTCCGGTGGCTTCCTCCAAGGGTTCGGGGTCGTTGTTGTTGTGGTTCCCCTTCTGTGTTGCCGCTGTTTCCCAGGGATTGGTGTTGTTTCGTGCACCGCGGCTCGGTTCTGGTTTTGGTTCCGGCACTACCAGAAAGGAGGTCCAGCAGAGGATGGAGGTCCACTGAAAGGTGTGGATGTTCATTCCCGTTTCGATGCCGAGGTGAAAGACCACCATGGCCACCACCACCGGCACCCTCAGGCGGGGGACCCAGACCAGGAACCAGCAGGTGCACTCCAGCACCAGCGAGGCCAGCGTCGCGATCTTTAGGGGCCCCTCGAATCCGTAGAGAAGGTCCGGGCGAAAGACCCCCCCGAAAAAGTCCTGCTGGTGGACCAGGTAGTGCATGGCGGACAGTCCGGGAAAGACCGCATCGTCCCCGTCCTCCTCTCCGCTTTCACCGCCGGCACCGGGGATCCACTGCCCGCCATCGTCAAGGAGCTTGGCAAAGCCTGCCCCGACGTAGATGCACGAGGTCTGGATCTGGAGCAACCGAAAGGGCCACATCGGGCAGCCCGAACAGGCAGAAAAGAGGGTGTTGCTCGGAGCCGTGGGCAGCCAGAGGGAATAAAAGGCCACCAGCAGCAGGAGGAGGTCCTGCATGTCGTAGAGCATGTTGATCCCCCGGTTCCGGAAGCTTACCATCGTGACCAGTATTCCAAAGACGTGGAGGCTGGGGTGTCCCAGCAAGCGCAACAGGGAAAACCTGCCTCCGCTGCTGCCGCGATCCCCCTCGTTCCCTCCGGCGTTCGCGTTCCGAATCTCGATCCACACCAGACACAGCGCGTGGAACACCCCTGCCCAGAAGAGCCACCGGACAAAGAATTGGTCGGTGGAGGGTTTCGAGTGCTTGAAGAGGGCCAGGGGGGACGCCAGCGTCTCTAGGACGTCGCGCAGGTCCTCCAGGTCCTCCTCGTCGCTTTCGCTGCTGCTGCCCCCGATCGCAGTTTCGTCGACGCCTTCCAGGTAGCCCTCGGTGGTGTCCCAGAAGGACGGGTACAAGGGTTCCTCCTTCCACAGAAAATGCCTCGCATGGGTGCTCTCGGTGAGGACCCCGTCGACCGGAGAGTACAAAAAGCCGAGGTCGGTGTGCCAGAAAACGAGCCGGTCGTACAACACGATGAGGGCAAAGCCGAGCCGCATCCTCCCCGCTGCAGCGAGCGGATCTTGGGAGGGCGCTCGGAAGAAGGCGTCGATCCCCCGGAGGAAAAACGAAACGGTCTCGGGGAGGAACGCAACGATCGACCGGCGAGAGGATGGGCCGTTTGTGCGGGACGTGCTTTTCGCGGTTGCGGTGTTGGTTGCCGCGCATTGTTCGGTTGTGCTCCGTGGGTTGCGTAGCGCACCCATCGGATCGGAATGTCGCGTCGGAGAGTTGTGTTGCGTTGCGTTGTGTTGTGTTGCGTTGTTCTCGGAAGGACAGAGCGGGGTAGAACCAAACAAAACAAAATAAAACAATCGATCCGTTCGTGTGAGAGTGGAAGGTTGCCGTCGCTCTCGGGTGAAGAGTGCTGCACAGTCCACAGTACTCGTATGGTTCGGCACCTAGCGACAACACAACAACAATTATTATTACTTCATTTATTTATTTGAAGTGTTTTCCCAAAGATATTTTTCTGTCATTTTGGGTTTAGGAATCGAAATTCAAAAAATAAAAAATAATCAAAAAGCGACGTTCAACGGCAGTCGTACATACTTTACCGTAGGGTAACGTAGTGTACCCGTAGCGTACCATATCGTACCGTAGTGACACAGTAACGTAACGAACCTACCATACCTGGTACAGTACCTGGTACGCACGGTACAATCACCACATCTTACTCGGAAATTTCCAACCAATCCATCGAAAAATCCACCGCATCATTGCATCACTACCGATTCACACATGCGTACGAACTCTACGGTACCAAGTACCATACGTACGTACCACCGGAAATTTCTTTCGAACGAACGAGGCACCTTGCTAACGGTTTAGGCGGTCGTGCTACCAATATTGTTGTTCATACCATCCGAGTTTTCTACCAGTCCATAGAAAAGTTCGATATATATCGTACCACTAGGGGGTTCTGTTGCACTAGTGGAAAAGTGGAAATACTAGTACTCTTTGTTCATACTATCAAAAGTTTCCATCAGAACACCAAAATATGGAAGGCATACCACTTGAAGGTTCCGATGTTCTAAAGAGGAAGTCGGCATTCTTTCAAAACTTTCTATCAGACCAGTTACATACTTCTAGAAGGTTCCGATGTTCTAACGAAGGATTATACAAACTGTCAATTATTGTTCGTACCATTCGAAGTCTCTATTGGTCGACGAAAAAATCACACACAAACCACTTGAAGTTTCCAATTTTCTAACAAAGAAGTGGACATACTGTCAACAATTATTTATACAGTACGATGAGAAGTTTCCACCAGCCCATCGAAACGCTGGGTACATACTACTAGAAAGTTCTGATGTTCTGATGAAGAAATGGACACACGAGCAATGATTATTATTTGTACCATTATAAGTTTCTTTGAGTCAACAGAAACGCTTGGTGCATACTTGTACTACTAGAATGTTCTGGCGTTCTGATGAAAATTTCTTCATTTACACTATGACCATGAAATGGTCATACTACCAACGATTATGCATACCATCAGATTTTTCTACTCGTCCACCGAAACGTAAAACTTGTGTCATTCTAATGAAATAATGGTCATACTACCGGCAACTATGCATACCGCACAACCATTGGCATTTTCTATCGGTCCATCGAAAAAGTTGACACTTCGTACGTACTACTAGAAGCTTCTGGCATTCTAATGAATTTATCTCCTTGTACTACGTTCAGTACCAATGATCTTGCACAGAATCATCATCATGTTTTCTATCGGCCCATCGTAAGATTTGAAACATGCGAGTACCGTGCCATACCACTTGAAGGTTCAGCCATACTTTTTGAAGGAATGGAGGCAGAACCAGTAGTGCTACCAATGATTGTACACACTTGCATCAGAATTTCTATCAGCCTCCGAGGACGCCGTTTCGGAAACTGGTGCTGGCGAATACGGAGGGGAATACAGACGCTGAATACGGACGCTGAAAACAGAACCCAGTAGCTTTGCTCGTTCCACTGGATGGCGTTGTTCACAAGAGGAGCTCAACGCTCAGGCCGAAGGACCGAGTCGAACAAGAGGAGCTCCGTACCCAAGGCCCGATGATACGAGTAGGGTGCCCAAGGAACCAGCCATTCACTAGAGACAAAACAAAAACAGCACTCCCGGTGGCTCTGGCGAGTCCACCCGCCGGGGGATCGAGGGGCGTCGACTCCCGCGTCGGAGCAAAAAACCAGCAGAAGAGCTTGCGATCCCCGGCAACGAAAACTTACGACCACCGGCATCCGCGTGCGAACCAATCGCAACGGCGGTGTTGCCGTTCGGAATGCACCGAACGCCGGCGTATGCGGTGGCACCGGAGTACCCGATTGGTTCCGTGTCTCTTGGATGGATCGCGTTCGTCTCATTCGCCACAATAGTCGCAAGACCAGGTGCGGACGAGAGCTTTTCTGCTGCAAAGAAACAACAGGGCCAGGCGAACAGGATCCATGATCGAGGAGGAAACCACAAAAAGCCGAAACGATTGCAAAAGGCTCTTGGAATCTTCACTGTCCACGAGGTCACCCAGACCAGCGCGAGCAAAAATCGTACCGCCGAGAACAAATCCGCAACACACGCGTCTAGTACTCGGAAAATTTCAACGGCAAAAAGGAACTTGCTAGAGCGAAACTGCAAATCCAACTCGAGAGAGATGCCATGCCCATAGAACCAACGCCAGAAATCAATGCTGCGTTTTACAACCAAAGTATTTTTCGTTCACGACCGCTGCTGCCTCGCAAAGCATCGTTGGCCGTCGGAACAGCACGCGGGTCCGACTGGGGGAAGCAATTCCCACACTGCCCTATGAAGAACCGATCGATTCATTCTAGGGAATACTACCAGTTTGGTGGCAATTATTGCAAAAGAACCATTGTAATAAAACAGATAGTACAGCCGAGCGCGTTGAAAACGACAATCGTTTTTCCGTTTATGCGTGCATGCGGTACTTGTATGCTTTCCCCCAACCCTCCGGCGAACATCAATCGCCATTCCATTCGATGAATTCCATAGCATCGTCTCGGCAGTTCACTTCGCATTGCATTGCATCGCGTCGCACCAGACCCGTCGAATCTTCCGGAACCAATCCTTTCGAAAGTTTGCAGCTTTTGCGTCGGTGTCCCTCGGTGCAACGCCTCGTGCATCCCTCAGGACACGAGCCCACCGCACGGACTGCGGTGCTCTCCCCGGAACGCACACGGTCCGAGACCAGCCGCACACAGGAATTGTCGCTCCGGAAGGAGCCGATCGGGATCGGTTGGGGTTTGCTGGTTGGCGCAGTTTTTTCATTTTTCCTCCTGGATTCCACCTGCGAGCTCGTTGTTCCGGCGAGAATTTCGATTCCGAAAAATCCCTTCCAAAAGCGCGTGAGCGGGCTAGAGTGATTCCACGGACCAACCCTTTTTCATCGACGATCTGGAGCGCGGGCTACGTCTCAGATTGGTTTGTTTGGCATTGTGCCTCGGTCGTGGATGTAAAGAAAACCTAGATCGAACGCTGCGCTACCGGGAATTTTACTATCCATTCAACCACCCGATGGGTATTGACCGAACCGTCATGGTGCAGCGAACCCACTGAATCCCCCGGTAGTAGTTGCGTCGCCGGAACAGGAACCAAACACAAAACCATACGGAAGCCGAACCCTCCTCCCGTTTTCCATAGGCCAACCACCAGTTTCGGTTCTATTCGGTTCGTCCCAGAGCCTCATCAACAAAAACCTTTGCTGATCCTCGGCAGAAAAAAAAAACACAATAGCGGCAACAATGGGCTCTACCCGGTCAGCGGCGTCCAGAAACGAAATATCTCCTTTTGCAATCCCCAAAATCCCTCCATTCTCGGCCCGGACTCGTCCTTTTGGGTTTGCAACAAAACTTCCGGCGTCGGCTCCCAAATGGCGCTTCGCACAACTCGTTGTATTGCGTCGTGGTTTGGTCCGATGGCAGTTCGGGAGCCCGGAACGCAGATTGTTGCAATTAGGCACGCATCGGCTTTTTTGCCGTATTTCCTATTTCGTCTCGGTTTTGAAACAAAGATACCGTTCGTACCCTGTTTCACAAAAAAGACCCATAGAGTCTGTGCTTCGTACGTACCTGATGCTCCGATCGGTGCGCGCATTCGGGAACAACAACAATGATGCGTGCGTCACAAAGAACATCCATCTGCGCAAATGCCTAAGTGTTGCGTCCACCTGCGACCAAAACGGAATCCTTCCATGACACTTTCTGCATCGCAAGCCTGTTGCTGCGTGTGAACTCAAAATCTCTAGGATATCGCCCTCCCGTAACCAAAACGCAAGGATTTCCCCTTGGCAAGCAAAAACTCTCTTTCGCTCAAAATCGTCCACTCCTCGGCTCCGGGTCAGTCCTCTCCGAAAGTCCCAGGGATCGGAAACCAATCCCCAGGAAAACGTCTCGTTTGTTTGTCCACATTTGCACGATCGGAAAATGGTTTTCAATCCGTCTTCTTCGAAAGTCCCGGGCGTCGGAAACGTCCGTTTTTCGACGTTCGCACGACCGGAAAATGGTTTTAAAATTGGTTTTCAAACCACTTTCGTCGTAGCTTTTCTACCAGATCCACGCAAACTAGTTTCGAAACCACTCTTCGTCCATCAAAACCACTTTTTTCTGTAAGTTTTCTACTGGTGCTACGCGAGCGGACGCATTGAGATCCTTGTCTCCTGTTGAATGTGTACTGTGATCTACGAGAGGAAATCCGCAAAGTTTGTCGAAAGGCGATCAGAAAATTCATTTCTTGCTCATTTTGACTATTTTGCTTTTCATTTCTCTCTGCTCACAATCGCATTCAGAGGATGATCACCTCAGTGTAAATGCCTGAATCAACCAGCGGGTAGTGTTTGGGTAAGGGAAGTAGCCTGGCAAAGACCAGGACGCTTGGGGGAGACGACCATGCATGCGGCATGGAAGTCTCTCAACGTGTAACACCCCTCCCATTCACCATGATCCTTATTTAGCTGGAAGACAGGATAGTCGTAAGTGGAACCCTGAGGGGCGGGATAAGGATTGGGAACCCATGGCCGTTGAACTGGAAAGAGCTAGCCCTTGTTGCYGCTAGCCCCCTGCCAGGCGGAAGACCATGGCCAATCCGACTCTAAATTGAGTGCCCGCCTTAAACAAGGCCCCGACAAAGCATGTTAATCGTGATCTGGACCACACCGCCGGGAGGCGCGCGGTGTGGTTTCGCACTCTGAAGGTGAGGGAGAATGTAAACGCCAGTGTAAACCACCAAGGGCCGTAGACCATTGCATAGGAAGTAGCCTACCACAGAGGGGGACGCTAGGGTAAAATCTGATGAGCGATTCAGCAGATGGAAACCTGACAATCCTATAGCAATGGGGCTTCAACTTGGTGGGCTGGTTAGTCACACGCAAAAGCGTGAGAAGACAGATGCATGGAGATTATCATATCTGGTTAATAAGGGTAAGGAAGGGGTAGCGGTAGCCGTGCCTAGCACAGGGCCGACCCCTCCGCCCGCCGGAACAGTGTCGAATAGCCTGTGGGTACACATGATCATCTTGTCCTGACATACATTCTCTCTCTGGGCACCGAGGCAGTAGCCGAGGGAACCTAAACAAGCAACCAAAAAAAAAAACAACAATCAACCAACGGAGCGGAGCGACGGAAACCGGAGCAATGGTAAGTGGCGGCGGCAAAGAAGCATGGAAGCGGAGATTGGAATCGAGGGACTCGATCGGTGCCGCGACGATCGTTGTTGTTATCGTTGGTTTCGACGAGGGAAAGGCGCACCAAGCAAAAGCTACCGATTCCAATCCCATGGAGATCGTTGTTGGTGTTGTGTTGTTTGTTGGTTTGCACGGATCGGATTGGCAGATTTGATTGCAAAGCAACGAATGGCGGAATAATGAACAACGAGAACCAAACCACTCGAGCGGATTGCCGCATCGCAAGCAATGGTGCCATCGCAGGGGTTCGTTCCTTCCTTCCTTCGTAGTGGTCGGAAGATGGGTTCCGCCCCTCGGCGTTGTTGGAGTCACAAACAAAGACACAGAAGAGAGCCGGGAGCGTGGCTCTGTATTGTTGTCGATCCCGGACAACGACCACCGAACGGAGAGTCTTGTATTGTATGGACCAACCGACGTGGGGGTTTCCCGGGAATAGATAGTTTGGGATTCCGTTGCCAATCGATGCGACCAACGAGCTCAATCGGATCCCGGCATCTAATTAATAGGGCTTGGCAGTCGCGGCCCTCTTTGCGTTCGAGCATGTCCTCCATCCGGCAGTCGACGGGAAGCACGGTGTCCCGCTTTGTTTCGTTGTTTGTTCCATCTACCGTACGGTACGGCATCGCTTGCGAGCTTTTTCGAGGCGGGCCTAATGGAGTATCGAGAGTCCCCAAACGGAATTGTCGGGTCTCTATCCGAGTTGCACATGCTATCTACTCCGAATCCGGCTTAAAAATTCGAAAACACTCCGTGCAGGTACCGTGCAGGTACCGAGCAGATCCCATTGCACTCAATTTTCCTACGGGTAACCAGTACATGACTCCATAATACGTATCGCATCGCGAGTTCAATAGTTTTTGAAAATAATAGTGCATTTCTATTGTAATTAGAATTCTTCTTATATTTTCCACGCTATGCTTCCTGCAAAAACGTTTGCAGAAGACGCATTTCGATGGACAAAGCGCAAAACTATATTTCTTCCATGCGACATGAGAGGTTGTCCGATTTCCAATTCGTTTCCACACGCCAAACCAATGCCTGGCTTCCTTAAAGGCTTCGATGTCGTTATGCCACGGCGAAACAAATCAAATCAACGTCCATCGGATCAAATCGGTGGGTGGGTTAGGTTGCTCGTGCCACGGCGTGGCATTGCATCCTATGGTTCCGTGAGAGTACATGTTTAGAGCTCTCCAACGATTGGGACGGATCCTCCGAGCTGCTCGTGGACCATGAGTCCGAGAACTCCCATCATGGCGGCACGGCCATTGTTGAGCTCGATGGCACGCTTGGAAAGCTGGGTCTCTTCGTCGAAGGTGTCCCATCCGAAGTCGAGGGATCCATTACGGAAGTCACCGACGAACTCGTTTCCGGTTCCCTCGATGTCCTTCATGACGCCGAGTTCGAGGGCGGCAACGAAGGCAACGATCTGTGCAAGCCCGGCGGAAGGGATGGCATCGGGTCCGGCAATAGCGGCCCATCCGTTGGGGAAGGAGTCGAAGGAGTCACCGGACATGTCGATGTCACCKGGAAGGTGGACTCCGTAACGGGTGGTGATCTGTCCAAGGAAGGCAAGCATACAAATGCGTCCGTGCTTGATCTCGACGTATCGAAGACGGTCGAACTTTTCTTGGTCACCGTCTTCAACGAGTCCCAAGGGGTCGAAGAATCCGAGAGGGGGCTGCGATCCGAGGGCGTCTTCGAAGGCCTTGATGGCGGTGGAAGTGGCGGCCTTGTTGGCAGGGGCAAAGGCGGCGGCCGAAGCAATAAGGGTGGCGAAAACAGCAGACTTCATTTTGGATGGATTATTTGTTTGAGATTTGGGTTTGAAGAGTAGTTCAAATTGGGTTTGTGAGAAGAAGGGACGAGTTGCGATTTTGCTTCAAAACCTCGTTTGGAACAAAATCCGAAACTTTTTGACATCATTTTTCCGTGCGAGTCGAAAACGGAATCTTGGGAGGTTCAAGAGCTGGAGCAAAGATCCGATGGATTGCGTTCAACTCGGTTCTTTGTTCGCGCGTGCGAAAAGTCTAGCTCGATTTGTATCTTACGGTACGAGTACCGGGTTGGTTTTTGGTGCCGTACGTACTGTACGAGCGCATGCTACGTACAGGACATACCAGTCACACGTACAAGTACGTACGTACTTGTTCGCACTCGCAGCATCTGTTTTGTTCTATCCATGACTCTGAGGGTTTCTTCGTTCAAAAATCTCAAACGAGGAGGTTTCGTACATCATTGCGGTACATAAGGTGTGTACTACAGTATGTCACATTGTCCTAGTTCAGAAACAAGAAACGATGTGGTGTTTTTTAGTCGTGAAAAATGGGATCGGCAGGCGCTTCTGTCGGCAAGCCTCTGTCGACGCGAACAAGATACTATGAAAGGAATCAAATTCCGTGATTCGAAAAACAAAAAATGAAATTGGTACGAGTTCCCATACGAGTAGGAGTACGAGCACCGTAGAGCAAGCGACCGTTGAGAAATAATAAATTGCTCGAGGACATAATCGCCCTCTTTGGTTGGAAGTTTTACCTACGCACAAAATCAAACCCACTTTCTGCTCGATAAATGTTCCCGGGTGCAATAGTACGCGTACCATACTCTTGCGAAACGAACAAGCGCTGTCTCCAACAAAAACAATCTTGTTCACCTTGTGTAAAGAGACGGATAGAGTTTTGATTCAGACGCAAGCCGTAGACGGGCTGAAAAGACAAGAATTGAAAAAGAATCATGCACCAAACTGTCACATCCAGCATTGCTCTTGTTGCGCTCCTCCTTTGCATTGCACATACGGGCTTGGTGATGGCGCAAGAGCTATCCCATGTTGATTCACCTGTATGTGGATATGATCCTTTCACCGACAACCAGGTGTCGGGCGTAAATATACCAGACAACGAAAGGGGCAACTTTTTGCGAACGTGTAAGTTACTCGCAAACAACGCGATACCACGTAACATTGTAAATTCTCGTTTGCGTTGCATTTTCGTTTGTGATTTGCTCTGCGTTTTTCGTTTCCCTTCTTTCTTTTGCGATGTGGACGCTTTCTTTTGACCATCTTTGAATGTTGCAGTGTCTTGGCACCTTTTACTCATAATCCTTTCATTTCAAATGGAATGATGCAATGCAATGTGACGTTCCAACACAACAACGACAATGGCAAAAAAGACGAAGTTCTATGCGACCACACCTCGAAGATTGGTCTATCGGTGATGGTGGAGGAAGCCCCTACATTTTTCGTTTTCTGTCTCATTCTTAACAATCCGGTCAACGCCGACATTTTACAATTCGTCGCCACCGGGAGGAATCTCCACACCCTGTTTGCCCCCACAGACGAAGCATTTTTCTCCATCCCTGGATTCGCCGTGACGGCTGCCGACAATGACGGAAACCCGACCGCGATCAACCTCTCGAACCAGAGGCAACGGGGGATTCTAGGAGCACACATTTTGCCAAGTTTTGCGCGGGTGCTCCTAAACCTCCGGTGCGACGGATTTTACCGCACCTATTTCGACTATTTCCCGGAAGCAGCCGGGAACGGCAGTTACAGTTCCCGGCAGTCGACCAAGACGAAGTGCCTGAACGGTGGCACTACTGCTCAGATTGGACGGGGCAACCCATCATATCGTCTCCCGGTAATCGGAAGCCCGTCCAACGTTTTTGAGGGTCCGTTGTTTCTGCGGCTGCAACCCCCTTCCTATACCTTTTCATACAGTTCTGAGGGTGACTTGTCCAGGGACGTTGTCGTTTGCAACGGTGTCCTACAGGTAATCGACAATGTCATTCTTCCCGTAAGCAGCGGAGGCCAAAGCGGCAGAAAGAGTGGCAAAGGTGGAAAGGGATTTTATGGAGGTTCAAAGCACACCAAGATGCAAAAGTATGGAAAGGACACCAAGAAGCAAAAGTATGGAAAGGACAGGGCACAGCTTAGCTTTTATGACCCGGTCGTCGATGAGGTTATTGATGAGGAGTTGATCTCCGAGGCATCTGTTTCCGGGGCGTCTGTTTTGGATACGAGCATGACACTCGACGAGTACCACAAGCAGTATTTTGGGATCGGTGGCGGGAACCGCCGTGACCTACTTTTTCTGAACTATACCAAGAAGGAAGACGAGAGTGGATATGGAGACGGCAGAAAACTCTCCGATCGGAACGAGGAACGAAAGCGGCGAACTAAACGGTTGCTCGAGTTGCTCGGGGAAAAAGCAGAACCAGAAGAACAGAGTAACTAAAGCGACTCTGAAAAGGTGCAACGATAACTTGTTCGAGGATTTCACCAGCATCAAATGCCCGTGTGGCGGGAACGAAGACAAGAAGAATAGATTTCGTTCCTGTGTTCGAACTTGAGCCTGTTGCCATCCGATTATGAATTCTTCCGGACAGACCTGATGGCAACGAGAACCAAAAAACCACGGCACACGAAAATTTCTTCCTTCGAATAGTGTGCGAATTGATGAGATGCGATGCGACAAAATCTACTGTCTTTCGAGCAACAGTCTACCGGGATAGAACACGTGTCTTCTCTTCGTGCGTTGTATTGGTCTCTCGAACCGTATTGTTCTCTCGAACCGTATTGTTGGCAAATCGAATGTCACTCCAGCACAAGGCAGATGATCTCTACGGAACCAATCGATTCCAATTTTTTGGTGACCCCACAGGCTGACATCGTCAGTTTCACTCAATAATTGAAACAAAGCTGGTGTGATTATTGAGTTTACAGCTGGTATTGTTGTTCTTTTCTCTCCCTCTAGTTATTTGGCGATGGTCAATGCGCACATAGATTTGCCGACAATTTTTGCGAGGGTACAGATAACAATAACAAGTATGAACTACATTCTGCTGGTACGAGATAGCTGTGAGTATCAGACTCATCCATCCCGAGAACAAGTGAATTTTCCTTTTCTACATTTTGAGTTTACGAATACCAAGCCAACTAAATTACCACATGCTAGATAGTTGAATGATAGATGATCTAGTAACACACTCCCAAAATGGATGACCAGAAATAGGGTTGGTTCTTAATGTCCCAAAAGTTTATTTGCTGTGGATCTGCGGATCAGTAGTAGTAATATAAATTGCAGTATTCGGATCATGTATTTTGCTAGTGGCAGTGAAGGGAAGATCTAGAACGTACTGCAAATGAATCAAGACCATATGAAACGGACTCCAGATTCTCTCTTCCATGTCAGACTGCTGGCATTTCATTAGCAGTTGCAATGAAGAAAAGATCAAGTGTATAGTACAATATTCAGCTTTACTTAGTATTAAAGCAAAGGCACACTGTAAACATGTAATGTGATTCTCTCTTCCTGGTCAAATTGCTTGTTTATTACTAGTAGTGGCAGTCAACAGAAGATCAAGTGTTTGTGACTTCAACTAGTACTAGTATTTGTTTTAGTATCAGCACTCACAACAAGTAGGTCCTTGTTGAGCTACAGCTCCTCCAGGTAATCATATCTAGAACAAAAAAGGCAGGGTTGGCTTAATCCTAACTCCTTGATTTTGGGAAACTCAGCTTTTTGTATTTACTAACAAACACCTCGCTGGACAAGTTTGAGTACAAAGATAAATACTAAAACTTCCTCTCCAACTTTGATTGCAGCAACACAGAGCATACTAGTGACACTGATGCTGATGCTGACACCTCCACAATGGCATTGCAGTGGTCATTAAGAATATTTCTTCCAGTCAAGTCCAAAAGTGAACATGACTACTACAGCGCCAACCCTGGTTGAGCCTCTTTCAAAATGCTGCTCCTTACTACTAGAGTAACTAGATGAATCTTTCTCCATAGAAGTGATTGTTTCATCCAACCACACAATGCCTCCACAGAGTGCTTTCATTGTTCAGATTCTTAGCCTCTAAATTCTTTTCAGACCCATAGTACTTTTCCACCTTGACATTCATTTGTTGTTAGTTTTTGCACTATAGAAACTAGTACTTGCATTAGCGCGCCAATCATGGAAGTCAAAACATAAAAGACTAAAACAGTTTTGACTGCAATTGTTTCTCTCAGAGGATGGGGGTCTGGGGGTTGGATTTTGAAGAAACATGGTATACTTATTGCCAGTAGTAGGGTTTTGAAGTATAAGAAATAGTGTTAAACAATGAAGTTACGGGAATGAGCTACCAGCTTATATAACCAATTGCTGTTGGTGGTGTGCAACATACTAGCTAACAGATGAAGCACCAATGATTGTTCAAATCATGGTCCAAAATCACGATAGAATGAGATGCCAGCTTATGATAGTCAGGGAGAAACTGATTGATGGTGGCATGCAACTAAATAAATGATGCTTGTTGTTTGTACATAAGCTTGATTTCATCACTCCGTGCTTTCATTTTGATAGCATATTTATTGTGGTTTCCCAGTGTAGTGTGTATGGTTTGTACAAAAGTTTGATTTCATAACTTTGTGCTTTTTGATAGCATGTTTTATTATTTGTAAGATAGCTTGATTTCATCACTCCATGCTTTTTGTTAGCATTGGTTAAAAAGAGAATTGAAAGAGCTTTCTAACGCCATTGGGGAGTAGTAGGGGGTCCTAGTAGTGGAACATATCGATATGCGTGTGTGAATATACTAGGATTAAAAATGTACGATTAAATTGGCGGAAAAAACGTGAAATAGTTTCAGAAGTATTAGTATTAGTAGTAGTAGTAGTAGTAGTGAAGCAGGAGTAGTAGTTCTAGCTAGTACTGATTTTATAACAAGTACTAGTATTGCATTTTCTGGTACTACTTCTAATTTTAGAATAGTAGTAGTAATACTATTAACACTACAGCTACTACAGCTACAGCTACAGCTAGTGCTTGGTGAGCCTTGAGCTAGAGCTTGAGCTAGAGCTAGAACTACATCTAGAACTGAAACTAGAAATACAGCTAGAGGCACATCTATACCATACTGAAACTGCTAGTGATACTGCTACTAATGATACTACTAGTACTAGTGATATTGCTACTAGTGATACTGCTGCTGCTATTGATACTGCTAGTATTTATTCTACTGCAAATGCTGTGACACTGCTACTACTACTAGTGATGCTGCTGATGCCATTAATAATGATAGCAGTAGTAGTGCTTTTATGAGTAATAGCATAACTATGTGGAAAATAGAAATAGTTTCAGAAAAGAAGTACTAGTAGAAGTTAAGCAATAGTAGTTCTAGTACTGAGTTTTCAACAAGTACAAGTACAAGTACTACTTTTTCTGCTACTACTTGTTCTACTATTTTTCACAGAGTACTAGTACTAATGATAATAGTTATAAATATTGATTGCAGCTAGAGCTATATTTTTCACAGCCATAGTAGTAGTAGTACCAACAATATTAATATTGATAAGGATATCTACTGCCTTAGCTACACCAAGTAGAGCTAGTAGTAAAGATAAAAGCTACTACAGCTAAGCCAGACCCAGAGCTAGAACTATGTACAGCTAAAGCTAGAGGAGCTTTAAATAAATTTAGAGTTTTTAGCTAGTAGTTTAGCTCGGTCTAAAGCTAGAGCTTCAGCTTGGGCTTCAGGTGCTAGTAGAACTTGAGCTAGTGCTTGAGCTAGTGCTTGAGCTAGTGCTTGAGCTAGTGCTTGAGCTAGTGTATGAGCTAGTGGTGCTTGAGCTAGTGCTTGAGCTAGTGGTGCTTGAGCTAGTGCTTGAGCTAGTGCTTGAACAAGTGTTTGAGCTAGAGCTTCTAGAGCTAGAACTACTCTAAAGCTAGAGCTACTAGAACTACAGGTAGAGCTACAAATAGAGCTACAAATAGAGCCACATCTAGAGCTCCAACTAGAGCCACATCTAGAGCTCCAACTAGAGCTACAACTAGAGCTAGTACTAGTACAAGTGAGGATACTGCTACAAGTGATACCGCTACTAGTGATACTGCTAATATGTTACTGCTACTAGTTATACTGCTACCATTGATACTGATAACATTAGCACACCGGTAGTACTAGTAGTGGTACAAACAAATTATTTTTCACATTATTTTTTTAAATGCTACAAAAGGCGAACCTATGCCTCCTAGTACAGAAAATACTTGTATTGTTACTACTAGTATGTCATAAGATTAAAAAAATCTGATATCACACATGCACAAATAGGTACAACAAATTACATATCTTAGAATTAAGGTCACTATTGAATACTGATTACTACAGTAATACAGTGCTGACACCTTCGACTTCCACTGCCACCAAAGCAGACCAATCATAGAAGTCGAAAAGAATTCAAGATGATATGTGGTATGTTGATCGAGTTAGTCGTCCAGATCAATCCATCCATTGAGCCGTCTCAAAATTAGTCAATCACCAATCAATTTTGAAATTCCAAAACGATGTGAAGTAAAATCCTGAGCCCGGTCTGTTTATTTTCCAAGTCGTCCATGTTGACAACAACAGAGAGAGATTTCTCCGTGCCGCAGACAAACTTAATTCGAAGATATTTCTCGGTCTTCGTTTCTGGGAGACAACAAACACAACAAGAATGGCGAGCAATTCAAATGAGGACGATAACAACGACGACGAAAGTACCAGCACGGTGAACACCGACGACTCGGAATTTTCCGAGTTTATTACTAGCCAGTGGAAAGACAGCGTCGAAATCGGTTTGGTGATCACCTATCCCCTACCATCGACCGAGTATTTGCTGGAATGCGAGGGGATCGATGTCGTCGGCGATTCCTGTGAAGTTGATAGCGACGATTGCGGTGTTTCAAGCGAACAACAGCAAATAGAACTCACGCCCACAACCAACTCGCTACCCCCGCTCACACTGTCAACGTCTCTTGGGGAGAACTCCATCGCCCCCCTCTTCGACGGAACCCAGTGGGCCGGAACACGGGTTTGGAAAGCAGCGGTCCTCGGACTAGAGTATCTCGTTCGAGAAAGAAAGAAGCGGCAGCAACAGATAAAACCAGGAGCGAAACAACACCGATCCTTCTCGTCGCTTCTGGAACTCGGCTGCGGGCTGGGGGTTCCGGGAATGGTGTGGAAGCAGCTCCTGGACTTCGAGCACTCCCAACAGCAGCAGCAGCAGCAACAACAACCATCCAAGTCGTCGCGCCGCAGGGTGGTGCTAACGGATCGCGAGTCTCTGGTGTCCCAGCTCCGAGAAAACGTTGGGGCGAACTTTGCCGACGATTCCATCGAAGCCAGGGCACTGGATTGGTCCAGGGAGGGCATTGCCGAATTGCTCCGGCACGAGCGAGACCTGCTGGCAGCTTCGTCTGCAAACGCGAACGCGAACGCCACCGGACCGGAACCGGAACCCCCGGTGCCCTTCGATGTCTGCCTGAACTGCGACTGCGTGTACGAGCCCCTCTACGGGAGGGAGGCCTGGGAATCGCTGGCGGACGTGCTCATCGAGCTCGCCGTCCAGAGCCCGGAAACCCTCCTGGTGACGGCCCTCGAGCGGCGCAACAAGGACAACGTCGAGGGTTTTCTGGAAAAGCTGACCGCCTCGGGGACGGTGGCCCCCATCGAGCGGGTGGTGAGACACGACGCCGATCCGCATCACGTCATCGAGATATACGTCACCACGGGGATAAAAGGGAGATGAGGCAAGAACAAACCGAGGACAAGAGAGAATTGAAACGAGCGGGTGACGGAAACAGCTGCAAAGAGACCGGCCAAATGAACGAACGTAGATAACGAACAAGATAAACAAGGAAGTAATAGTCCACGTAGCATCATATATACTATTTTACTTGTTCCATGAAGCTGGGATTTTGCAATGAACAAGTTATCCTTGTAACTGAAAACCAAGATTTTTTAATAGGACATCGATTTTTTACTAATTTGGTGGGTTTCCATCACCAGGTCTACCCCAAAATTCATATAGGATAGTAGTGCTCTTGCGGCGGTATTTTCAATAGCCAGAATAGCAGCAAGTCAATACTGTGGGCGTTGCATACAAAGCGACAAGCAATCCGAGGAGGACTTCAAGCTTTCTTTCCGGGAGAAGGATTCCACGACGACGAGCCGCCTAATCCACAAGGGTGTCAATGGATCGAACCGGGAGCAAACCATTCGGCTGGAAGACACGGACTTTCATTCACCAACGACAACACCAATGGCAGAGGCGACGGATGTCGCTAGGAGCCCTCGAAAGAAGGTGGCGTTTTATGAGGAATGAAGTTACGTTTCGTAAAATATTCGTTGCGAAAGAGAGCACCTAGTCACCCATGCCGGAGTTCGCCACTACCAGGAAACGGGTGCCTGGGAGTATCGCAAGGCTCGGGATTCACCTCCCGGGTGCAGAATTGCGAGTAGTTTCTCGTTCAAAACGGATTGCGGACTCGACAGGATGCCAGGATACGAGATCGAACAGTCACATCCGAATGAACCGGCATAAACATCGACACGGTCGGTTTCGCATATCCCTAGACTCGATCAAAATATTTGCTTCGAATTTTCAAAAACGGAAGGAAGGGAAAACAGAAGCGAAGCAAACAATAGGAAATTCACGGCGACCCGTCGGATTCGTTTTCTAGAATCTTGACGACCCCCGTGGTTCCATTGACTTCCACCACCATTCCGTCCGCGAGAAGGGAATTCACGTCGATCGTCGACACGGCCGGTTTGCCGTACTCCCTCGCACAGAGGGCACCGTGCTGGAGAACCCCCCCGATCTGCAAGACCACCGCCGACGCGCTCGCAAACAGCGGGGTCCACGCGGGACCGGTGACCACAGCGCAGAGGACCTCCCCCGGTCGAAAGGAGTGATCCGCCACGGAGTGGACGATGCGGACCCTGCCGGTGGCGGTGCCCGGCGAGATGGGGGACCCCACCAGAATGCTGGGGTCGTCGGAGGCAAGCGGGGGATCCGGTCGGAGGATCCGGCACCTCGAATCGACCAGAATGGGGCATTGTTTGGAGGAGAGGGCTCGATCGTACGCAGCCCTCCGGGGTCGAATGATCTCTATCCAGTCGGTGGTTATGGAAGTCGAAGATGATTTTGCCTCACGTTGTTCGCTTGTTTTGGGAACCGTTTTCTGGGTTCTCCTCTGGTATTGTTCTGCCAGGGCCCTGTCGACCTCGTTCATGTCGAGGTGGAATATGTCTCCCTTTTGTTCCAGCATCCCGTCTTCAATCAATCCCTCCTCAACCACAAGGATCCAAGAACGGATGGTTCCGAATGCCTTGGTCAAGTGGAGCTTGGGTGCATTTCGGAGCCAAAAAACGTGGTCCAGGATCTCGTTTCGCTTCCGAATCTTGGCCAGCTTGCGGTCCGCTTTTCTGCAGGCCAGCCATCGCTTGACCGGCCGCCAAGGGGACACCGATCTCGCTTTTTCGGCCTCCGACCCCGCCGCTGCCTCGTGACGGGCCTGGACGATCCTGCGCTTCTCGAGTTGCTCCTTTGCGATGACCGCCGGGTCCTTCACGCTCCCGATCGCGTTGAGCCGCAGTTTTTGCAGGAGCAGCTCGGGGCGGTCCTTGTACCGCGGGCAGCTGACAAAGAGCTGGTCCTCCCCGTCAAAGCCGAACCGGTTCAGAAAGGTTTCCCACTCTTGCAAGAATTCTCGTGGCAGGTCTTTTTGGCCGTCCCCGCCGCCCTCGGCGTTCCGCTGGATGCGCTCGGCCAGGTCCCCCAGGGTGCGGTTCGTGGAGCCGTCGTATTCTTCCCAGGTGGCTTCCGGCAGGCACCTCGCTAGCCGGTAGAGCGCAATGTTCATTTGCATCAGTTCATCTCCCTCGAATCCGCCACACAGCGCACCGTACTCCTCTCTGATGTTGTCCGTGGCACCGTTCCGGCGCTGGTCGTCGAGCTCGTTGACAATCTTCAGAACCGTGAATTGAATGGCGCCGCACTCTTCCATGCACGAGGGGTGAATCGCCCCGACGATTTCCGCGGAAACTTTCTTGAGGCTCGGCGGGCCGGTCTCGCAACGATTGGCGGTGCCGTTGCCCCGGAGGTCCAGGCTGTTGGCCGCTGCCAAGGAGTCGAGCCGTTCCAAATCCCGTGCCACAATGACGCGATATTTCTCGATGGAACCTTTTGGGTCCTTTGCGTACTTCTTCCCTTTGGTGTAGAACTCCCATATGGGAAAGGTAGATAGAAGTTTGTAGGCGCTCCATGGATTGACCCCCTTCGGAATCCACTTTCCGGTGCGGTAGGCCTTCTCATCACAATCCTTCGAGGTCATGATCGATGCCAGGTAGGGATCCATCATCTCAAAGAACTGTTGGTTTGTTTGTTTGGTTGGTTGGTTTGTTTTTTGTTTGTTTTCGACCGGAGCATTGGCATTGTTGCGATTCGAATACCAACGCAACCAAGCATCGAGTATCGAACAAAAGAAACACGAACTAGTGAGTTATGCTCATGGCATGCAGCAGCAAAACCAAACACTGCCACACACACTGCCCTACACACACACACACACTGCCACACACACACACGCAACTCACCTCCGCCATGGACTCCTTGCTCGCGTAGTTGAGTGCCACCCCGAGGTTGAGGTACTGGCGCGTCGGCCCGTTGAAGAGCAAGACCTCGGCGTCCCTCGCTTCGCTAAAGATGGCAACCTTCCTCTTCTCGGCGTCCCCGAAGGAAACCCCCATCATGGCGGTCGTGGCCTTGTTCCAAAAGTCCATGTCGAGCCTCGAAAAGGGCTTGGTCGTCGTTGCCTCGCTGGCAATGTTCGTGTCGAAATAGAGCCTCCGCGCTTCGCGCGGGGCCGTGGCCATGAAGGGAGCGTCGAGGGTGTAGAGGGTGGTGATGGGCCGGGCCTGCAGCAAAAAGAGGGAGAGCTTCCGCTTTTCGCGGTGGGTTTTTTGGCCGTTGTGGTCTGGGGGTTCTTTTTCGGTGTCTTTTTCGGTGTCCGTTTCGACAAAGGCCCACTCCACGTCCATTGGTCTTCCGTAGGCGGCCTCGACCCTGCAGACCGTCTCCGCCAGCTCGGCGATCGAGACAGCGTCCAGGCTCGGGGAACGAAACCTCGGATCGCAAGGTGCAATGGGAAGCGTCGCCACCCCCCTTCCGGCGGTTCGGTCGAGGCGTTTCTCAATCCCCTTTTCGCCAATGGAGGCCTCCCTGACCAGATCGCGCCCGAAGGGTTGTAGCTTGGGGGGCCTCTTGCGGTGGCCCGGGCGTTTTGCCGGGCCGCGTTCGTGTTTGTATTCGTGTTTGTATCCGTGTTTGTATTCGCATCCGTATTCCTCCACCGCCAGCTTGTCCAGGACGTACCGGTCGGCAACGACGCTCCCGTCGACGACGGATTCTCCCAGGCCCCAGCTGGAATCGACGACCATTTCGTCCCGGTCGCTGTTGAGGGGGTTGGCCGAAAAGGCCACCCCCGCGACCACCGGGTCGATCATTTCCATGGCCACGACGCAAAAGTTTTGTCTCCGGGTGGGAAGGCCCTGCTGGTTTGGGCCCTGCTGCTGCTGCTGCTGCTGCTGTGGTTGTGGTGGTGGTTGTCGCTTCTGCTGCTGCTGCCGGTAGTCCCACACGCGGGAGTCCCAGAGGCTGGAAAAGCACTCCCGGACGGCTTCTTCCAGGGCTCGCTCCGTGTTGGCCACCCCCAGCTCGGTGGAAAAGACGCCGGCAAAACTGGAGGTTCCCCCGTCTTCCTCCGGCGCCGAGGACCGGACGGCCCACAACCCGGTCGAAACCGAACAAAGGGGGCTCCTTTTCCCCTTTTCCGTTTCGTGTTCGTTTTCGTTTTCGTGTTCGTTTCCGTTTCCCTTTCGCTCGGCCCCCCCTCCCCGCCGTGTCTCCCCCCTCCCTTCCATGGCCCGAACGAGTTCTCGAATGGCCAGGGCCTGGGCTCTGGTCAGCGGGAGGAGGTCCTCCCGCCGGCAGGCTTCCCGGAGCCTCGCATGGGTTTCTTGCTGGTGTTTGTGTTTCTTTTGGTTCTGGCTTTGGTTGTCCTGGTCCTGGTCCTTGCCGTTGTCCTCGTCCTGGTCCTCGTCCCGGATCATCCCCTCGATGCGATCGATCCAGGGCCCAAAAAACTCCACCGTGAGGCAAAAGGCCATCGGAACCACCACCCCCGGCACCGAGCAGAGCCCGGCCAGGCTCGAGGCCTTTCCGCCCACCCGGGAGGGAGACCACCTGCTTCCGTCCGTCAGCGACACCACGAGCTCGGAATCCCCGCCGTGGTCTTCCATTCTATTCTATTCTATCGTATCGTATCGTATCGTATCGTATCGTATTGGATTGGATTGGATTGGATTGGATTCAAATGGTGAAAGTGTTGCAGTAGTGTGTAATACTAATGAGTGTGTAATCGCGAGATTGTATCGGTGTGTGTGTATCGGTGTGTGTGTAACGGTGAGTGTATCGGTGAGTGGGTAACGGTGAGTGTATCGGTGAGTGGGTAACGGTGAGTATGGTGAGTATCGTATAGGCTGGGCCATGCGTTTCCGGCCGAAAATATCGGACATTTTTGAATACGGATATACGTACATGAATATCGATCAATATTCAACGTACGCCGTTCTCCCCCACGCCATTAGAAAGCTCGTTGAATTCTCTCTTCAACCATGTGCTTATCATACTTAAGCGTCCGTTGGGCGAAAAGTTACAGCTGTTCGAGTGAGTTGAACCTCTCTTATTGCCCTACTTGTTTTTTGTACTGTGCGGGGATTTTCTGCCATCTTTTTACCGTGTAATGACTCGTGGGATTAAAAATTTCACTTGTACTAGGGCTACAGCGTGCACGTGCGCGCGAAACTATTTTGCACGTGCGTGGGATTCAAAAATTCAGCACCTGCCCGCTGTACCGGTACACTGCAGTACAAGCCAATTTTTAATCCCACGAGTCGTTACACGGTAATTAGATAGCAAAAAATCCCCGATATTATCGTACCTCTGCTGGCCAACGCTATACGATATTTGTTTATGCTCACTCTCTCCAGCTGGGACCTTCTTTCGTTTTCCCAAGCAAGCTCCTTCTGCTTGTACGGTATGCCGGTACATCCCTTGCCTCCTGAATCTTCTCTGATAGCGATCTTCTTCTGCAAGTTTTCATTCGGGATTCATTCGGGATCGGGATTCAATCTCCTTGTGCAGATCTGAAATCTTCTGCTGTACTATTAGTATTATGTACTCCATCATGGGCCCGGACTTGAGTAGTAGTAAAAAATAACGGGTCATAATTTTAGAGGAGTGTGCAACGCGCACGTTTTTAGCATCAGGATGAAAAAGATCCATTCCATCCGTGGTACCGGTATGTTATAACTGTGGAGGAGCTCGCGCAGCGCGTGTACGATACATGCATACGTACTGTACTACATACAACATACATACAGGTAAGTACGTACTTATGTTAGACGCACATTTAATACGGTACTACTACTATTTTTGATTCAATTGATTCTGACACTGTCGTTGTGAGCCCAAATCACGAGTCGATAGTGAATAAGCTCACTCTTTATTGTAAATATTGTAAACACGTAGTTATACGACACTAAAGAGCACATGTACATTTTGCGGGTTGCGAAGAGTTGCTCAGAAAACGTCGGTGTGTCCGCGGCCCATGACGCCCATCAGGCAGCTGGAGGTGTACGCCGGGGCACAGAGGTCCTCGATCCTGCTATCCTGGAGCTCGCGGAACTCGATGTTCTCGAGGAGGCGGGCGAGCTTTCGCTCGTGCAGGTGGGGGAGCTCCTCCCTCAGCAGCCTCCGGCGTGTTTCGGGGTCGTGGCCCTCCTCCAGGTGCCGGGAGGAGGCCAACCCCGCCGCCTGCCAGTCGTCGATCGAGACCAGGTCGCCGATGGAGGCGGACGTGTCGGAGCAAACGATCCGGGCACGCCGGGCGACTTCGTGGTAGACCTCCACGTCGCGGTACAGCTGCATCCTCGTGAAATCGGTGGTCGAGACCCCCTCGCCAAAGTACTCGGAGGGATCGGCGCCGCGGAACCCCCAAAAATAGGTCGTGGCGCGGATCCCGAGGACGTCCATAAAGAAGCTCGGGTAGGTCCCCGACTGGAGTCCCAGGTAGGGATCCTTGTACACAAAAAAGGCGTACGCCCCGGCCAGGCTGTTGGTCAGCTCGAGGACCGGGCAGTCTCGGAAGGCCTCCGTGACGACCTCCCATTTCTCCTTCATGATCTCCGAGTAGGCACCGACCCACGAGGTGGGATCGTCCAGGCGCCGGCTCATCATCATCTTCTGGATCTGCATCTGGCCCTCCCAGGTCCACTGCGACAGGGTACCGTAGCTCAGGCTGTGGAAGGGGCTTGTGATTTTCGAAACGTACCCGGCGAATTCTTCCGACCCCTTCTTGTACGTGATGAATCCGGCGCGGACCGATGCGGAGTAGCCCTTGGTGATGGCATAGGACCAGCCGTCGCAATCCGGCATCTCGTCGAGGGGAATTTCAAAGCCCCGCATTCCAAAGTACATCGGCCAGACGTACACGCCGTCGCACACCCGTCGGTTTGCCGGGAGCTGCGGGGTTTTGATCACGCCGCTTGGGTTCTGAATAGGCAGCGAATGCCAGAAACGAGAACCCAAAAAAACGGGGGAAAGGAAAACACGTTGGGTTGGGTGAGATTGGGTTGGGTTGGGTTGGGTTGGTTGGTCACGGGCGATTCGCGATGCATCGTGCGATGCATCCTGCCGTGAAGGACGGTTTGGAATCCCCGGGAATGCGATGCGATGCGATTCTTACCTCAGGGAACACCATGGATTCAAACCACGGCGAGGTTGGTGAGGTGCTGTCCGCCACGTAGGTGACGTTGTCACCACCCAGGGCTTCCGGAATGTTTCCCGGAAAGAATCCTACGTTGTTGACGGTTACGGTGGGCTCGTTGCAGAGGGGATAGCAGAGGCATTCCTCGCCGGAGTAAAAGTCTTCTGCGTTTTGGTTTACCCAGCTCGCGATGGTGCCGGTATCGTAGCCATATGCCGGTGCTTCCATCAGCACGTAGATGTCGCGGTTGCACGTGGTAGCCGCAATCTCGAGAGCTTTTGCCGCCCACAGGGTGCTGATGCCTTGCTCGGCCCCCTCGTTGATGGTCACGTACCAGTCGTCCTTGGCAGACTCTTCGATCGCTCCGAGGTATACCAAAAAATCGAGAGCAACGGCCTTGGCGTCGTTGGAATCGTCCAGGGCTTCTTCGAATCCCTCCGCTGTCTTGTAGCTGGGGTACGGTCCACGCCGCAGAGGAAACTTTGCGGTGGGTTTGAGACCTGTCTTTTCCATCAATGTATCTCCCTGTGGTGCGTTCCGTGGAATGTATTTCATTGCAATGCGTTCCGCAAAGGGATTCGGATGGAAACACGGGAGAGGCGACATCATGGTTAGATTGTTACGTGCAACTTGGACAAATCGAAAAGTACCATAGAAAACAAGGAAACACTACTAGCCATTGACTTACGTCCAGCGGATCCCCCCACAAGATCCAAAAGGTTCTGTTCTCTTGGGTGTACCCGGATTCGATGCATTCCCCATCGACAAAGTCGATTGGAACCCTATCCACGTTCCACTCGTCCTCGGGACGGACGTACTGGGCACAGGGGTAGAGATACTTCTCCGACACACACCCCTCGTATCCACCAAAGACAGAGTCGTGGTGTTTCCACAGCGTCGTTTCGGGTGGGCAGTCGGAGTTGCCAGAATCCTCGTGGAGCAGCTTGTCGACGTCGACGTAGATCTCGACGGTGATGCTCGGGACGGCTTCCTCGGCGGCGGCCGAAAACGGCACCATCGCCAGGAAGATCGAGGCGGCCGTCAGAAACGCGTGGCCCCCAAAGAAATAGGACGTCGCCCCAAAGACGGCAAGCGAGCCACTCGCATCGGAGATCGACGGTGCCGCGGGGGAAGACACGGATCCGCACGGCTCGCCTGCCGTGATGACCAACTCGTCTCCGGTAGAGAGAACTTCGGGGAACAGATCGTAGCCCTTGAGGACGACGGAGTCACCCTTCACGTACGGAATGGAAGCACGGAATACAGTGCAGGCAGCAGGTGTGAGTCGATCTCGATGGGAAAACCCCAACCCCGTGACACAAGCAGAACACTTATTTTCGTGGCTGACCGAGTGCAGTACATTCCATTTACTCACCGTGCCAGGAACGGAAGAAAAATAATTGATGATCGGGTCGACAAACCCCGTGACGGTTAGCTTGGAGACACCTCCCGCAAGGGAAACAGTGGTTTCGGGATCGCAAGCAGCGAGCACGCTGCTTGCACCGCTCCACAATGCGGAGAAAAGAAAGATCGATTTCATTGTTTTTTCTTAGGTTGTTTTTTTTTCTGTTGATTTTTTTAAAATTATGACAATAGGATATCCGTTTGAAACCCAAATGCGAAGAACAGAATCTGCATGCCGAGATTTCTTTGGAGGCAGTCGAGTAAGCCTAGGAATGGATCGTTCCCTTGGACAGGTTGTAATGTTCTGTTTGGTGTCAGGGAAGAGACCGAAAGCGTGACTTTCACTCGAGAGCTCTGTAATGCAATGCGTTGTAGAATCGACTCATTTCAGTATCGAAAAACAATAACGTACTGCTACCGGTGGTATCCTTCGAAGTTTGTATTGGTTCGTACCGCGCAATATCTTTGAGGAAGGAAAAAAACACTACTGTACTAGTAGTAGTTTACGTTGAACCCGTTCTCGTTAAATACCATGCGCCGTGCTCTAATCGTGGATGTAATGCGGTTTGAAGAAATCGAAAAAATCTTGAGCGATGAAAGAGGAAACACAGATGGTTGAGACGAGAACTTCCGAAGATTTCATGGGCGATTTTTAGACCTAAGAATTCTGTTTTCTCGAAAGAATGCCGTCACAGGGGAAAAATGACGGGTATAGTATGGTAGTACTTGATTTGTACTCCATTGTGAATTTTTTCTGGATTTACTCGTGATCGATTTCAATCCAAATACAAGGAGGCTTGGGTCTTTTTTGGATTCGTTCCCGAACCCAAGGTATTTTTTTTGCACTAGCTACCTTCTTGCCTCGAAATTTGTCGGAAGGTTTTTTGAACGAACCGAAAACTCGCAAAAAATGCAGATGTCACTCGGCAGAAGAAAGAGAACCGCTATGAGAAAGTAGACAGACGCAGCGACGAACCAAACTTGTTGTGTTCTCCTATCCTCGCAACGGGCCCCTTCTTCCTGGAATGATGTGAGAACTGAACCAAAGCAAAAACAAATTGTCCCATTATTTCCTGAGCACCCAGAGAACAAACAAAAAGAAAATCCTTTTCACAGAACATTTTTATTCATCCTTTCCTATACTCTCAACCACACCCTTCTACTACGAAAACAGAAGGGAATCCAATCCACCCCAAGAAAGCTACACAGCGAAACACGATCCAACAAGTCATATTACAACAAGCCCATCCTCTCATTCAACCATGGCATCGGCAACGACGACGAGCTGCAGCAGTCGGAACATTCGATCCGTGGCTTCATTTGCGGCCCTCCTCTTTGCACTTGCGTGCCTCGGCAACGGCTCTTACACCGCAGCCCAACCGAGCAACCCATCCACTCCACCGTGCCGATTTTTAGACGATGCTCCCCCCCTCGATGTCGAGATCCCCTCCGTCCTCACGCACAAAAAGCTATCGTTTCTGGGCGTCGCCGCGAAGGTCCACAGGAAGGCGACCGCTTCCGGATCCAAACCGAGGCTCCGATTCCTGCGGTATTCGTCCACACCCACCGTGGACGTGACGCGCGGAGGGATCTTGGTCTCTGCCGAGGGAAGTGGATGCGACGTCTCGGTCGTCGACTCGATTCTTTCCTCCTCGGCCCCATCACGGTCCACTCCCCGTCGTCTCCTTGCCGCTTCGGCCGTTGCCGCGGGATTTCTCTCCTCCCACAAGTTGGGGATGCTAATTGCCGTGCTGTGTTTGTCGTCGCCGTCATTGGTCCCCGGGAGCGCCTTTGCGGAAGCGGCGTCCTCTTCGACATGCACCCCGTCGATGGAGATTGTCCTGGAGGCCCCTCCCTACTACCTGGGGAGCGTCGAGGAGTGCCTCCGATCGGTCTCCAATCCGGACCACTGTCCGGAGCCCTTTCCCGAGTTTCCCATTTGCGGAGCGGATGATAGGGAGCTTGCGGCTCCCGCCTGCAAGCTCGCTGTGGTCGGGGCCGGAACCGGTGGACTCTACACCGCGTATCGCCTCGTTGAGGAAGGCGTCTTTGAGGGGAGCGACATTTGCATCTTCGAAGCCACCGATCGGGTGGGAGGAAGAATCTATTCGCTGCGGGGCTTTGGCCCGGAAGGGGATATATCGGTCGATGCCGGTGCCTATCGGACGTGGCCCGATTATACGGTAGGTTTTTCTCTGATTTGAATTGTTCTGATTATTTGTTCTGTAGCGTTAGGAAATGCGTCGGATCGCATTGTGTACTTTGCAGCCTGATTTGTCGAAACTGTTTGGGTGCAGTTGGATATTTTGTTGTATTCACAACTCTACGCCATGCGGTGGATTCCCCTGTGTTCTCTTTGTGTTTATTTGGACGGAAGGAACACTAAATAGTTGCAGAAGAAACTCACCACTCCACTTCGATTCCAATCCATCGACCTTTTTTGTTGTATTGAAATATTTCAGCCTACCACTCATGCCCTCATCACCGAAGTGCTCGGATTCGACGTCGAGTGCTACGACGAGGACGATCCCTGCACCAAGTTCAACATTGTCGGAGAAACCGGAGAGAAGATCGGATTTGCCTCCTTTGTCGAGGAGCTCATGTCGCGGTTGATCGAGAAGGGAGCATGCTTTTTTCCCCGGCACAACCTGGTCTCGGTAGCCCACAACAACGACGATGCGGAAACCGATGGTTATGCTTCCAACACCCTGACATTTTCCAACGGCGTCAAGACGAGAGCTACCCACGGGACGATTCTCAACGTCCCGCAGCGAGCACTGCTCGAAATTCTCCGCGAGAGCAAGGACCTTTTTTCGTCGTCCTCCTCCTCGCCGTCGAGCATTGCGTCGGGCACGAACCTCGACCGGAGCGCCAGGGAGGAAGAAAAGCGGACCTACGACTCGCTGCACTCGGTCCAGACCGAGATCGTGACCAAGCTGTACCTGTACTACGAGGACGCATGGTGGTACAAGCTGGGACTGACGCAGGGGGACTTTTCCCTCCCGGGGGACGCCCGTTCCATGCTCCTAGAGGGCCGGTACCACGACGGTCACGTCAAGTGCGAAGCCACCGACGACGGCGACGAGAAGTGCTACGGCTTTCTCCTAGCCGTGTATGCGCACGATTTCTCGGGCACGAAGGCGCAGTACTTTCGTCGCTTCCAGCGGGACCGGCCAGAACCCGTAACGATTCTTTCCGATACCAACCCGGAGGAGGAGGACTTTCTCAGGCACGCCCACGAGCGCCTCGTTGACTATCACGTGTACGGGGAGGACAACGCCCGTCTGCTGAACGCCTCGGCATACTCCCCCTTTCAGTTCCGGAAAATCATCGAGTCGTCGCCGCCTCCGACCTTTGCCGTCCTAGCCAACTGGAACACGGCTGCCTTTGGGGCAGGCGGCGGTTGGCACCACTGGACCGATACGGCCAATGCCGAAAAAGCCATGAAGCCCCTGAATCCGCTCGGGATCCACGTTGTTAACGAAGCCTTTTCCAAGATCCAGGGCTGGGCCGAGGGCAGCTTGCTTCTGGCCGACGAGATTTTGGAAGAGCACTATGGCGTGGCTCGGCCCTGGAGTTTTGAGGTTCCCCAATCGATCTTTTACCTGGCCCAGACCTCCTCGGAGGAATGCGTGGCGGGAGACGACGCAGGCAGCGGCCAGAGCGGGGGATCCTCGTCGTCCGGTGGGGCCGGGCCCGTGGCCGGGGAGCTGGACCTATGCTTCGCCGCGGGTTCGCTGGTAGAAATGGCTAACGGTAACCTAGTCCCCATTGAGGACGTGGAGGAAGGTGACTCCGTTGCCACCGGGGTCGGCGGGAAGATAGGGCTGGTGACCGAGAAGCTGGTCCATCCAGTGAGGATGAAAGAGGCTAAGAAAACGGCCTGGGGCGCCCCCTATCGCACACGCCGGTGGTCCGATGTGGTAGTGGTTCCGACGGAGCACGGGGATCTGGTAGGGACCCCCGATCATCCCGTTCTGCTCGGCAACAGTTCCGAATGGATGGAGCTGGGAGATGCCCTGGAACGAAACCTTCTGGCCGTTGGGGCCAGGAGGGTGTCTCGGGACGTGGACATCTTTTACAATCTCGAAATTGACGGCCACAAGGTATATAAAGATGATGGGAGACAAGCACAACAGAGCCCCCATTCGTACGTCGTCAACGGGGTGGTGGCCTCTGGGCTCGGGGACAATCCACTGCTCAATCGTTTGTTCCCCCGCCAGCGTGTGTTTTTGGAAGAGCAATCAAAGCACCACCACGACATTGATTTGATATCGGCGACATCGATCGTAGATAAGACGTGATGAAATGCCATGGTTGTTTGGAAAAAAATTAAACGTCGGCGTATTCTGTGACTCGCTAGGCCGCCCGCTGGTTTTACAAAGCACTATATTTCTGGAATCAGCGGATAAATATAAAACCTTCCTTGCTAAGAATGATATCTCTTAAATATATTTCTAGTATTGTGCTTCGCTATCCGAATGAAAGTTACTGCAAGATACCAAATATTACGAAAGTAGAATCGGTACCGGAAAACTTAAAAATAACGCACGGGTATCGAAAATAGGATCTAAGATCGAAGGCAAACGATCGCGAATTGTCACATCATTCAGGTGTTTTTGAAAAGGACTGCAACAAATATTATGGAAGGTTGTTTTCTGTGGCTTTTCTTCCTCCTCTATACTTTTAAACAGTGAGGGATGTGTAGGTGCTTGTTGTTCTTGAAGTCGGAGAAAGCGGTGTCGGAGTATATAGCATTTAGGTTAACATTATTATTGTTTGTGCAGTATTTTGGTACATTTTTCAATTGGATTGGATTGTGTTTGGCCCAGAGCCGATTCGCTTCGTCGGTTCGATTCCACTTGATTCGATTTGATTCGTTTTATCTCGATTCGATGAAACTCGATAGTGTGCGGCTCGAGTCAGTGCAATTCGGTTCGCAACGCAGGGAGACGGTTCTTTTCTCTCAGCAGTCCTTCGAGGAATACTTTCTGGGCCGATGCACGGGTGCCGTTTCTCTTCGCAAAGTCTTTTGCAACCGAGTCAGAGCCAGGCATTGCCGCGGCACTCCCATCACTGTTCGTGCGAACAAACGGAGGCTCGGTTTCGACGAATGCAACGGGCGGTTGGACCAGCAGCAACAGTTGCTGCTGCGCTTCGTTTTCTTGTAGGTGGCGGACGACGAGTTCCACGTCCGCAACAATGCCCGCGTGGTGGGGATCTTTTTCCTCGCGGGCCCTTTCCGGCGACGAAAAGTCGCCTTTGCCGGTGGCAATCGTAGCTGCCGCGGGTTCTGGTCGTTTTCCCGCATCGTGGGCCACCGGGGAGGAACCATCGCCGCTCTCGACTTTTATGGCCACGCTCCCGTCGCAACGGCGATGAGAGAGGCCGATGTTTTGTCCTCTCTGGCCGAGGATCTGGGCGGCCTGCTGCTCCGATTCGCGGTAGATCAAGGAACGAAACGAACAAGGCGGTGGCTGCTGCCGATGGTGGCGATAGTGGCGGTGATGATGCGGGTACGGATGGTGGTGCCAGGGACGGTGTTGGTGGTGTGGATGATGAAGATGATATTGGTGTCGATGGTGTCGATGATACGGATCGCAATGGTGGCTTCGGTGCCGGCCATGTCCAAAATGCCACGTGAAATCTTCGGGGCGGACCTTGTCCATTCCGTGAACGCCATGGTGGTTTTCTCTCCCGTGGTAGCGATGATGGGGATCGTTGCGGGGATTGCGACCAGCATCGTAACCATCACGGTTGCGGTTGCCATTCGAACAACGATCCCGATTGTGAACTGCGTCGTGGTAGAAGTTTGAGATTGCTTGAGCCGGTGCTTCCGTGAATGCCCGCGTTGTCTCGCGGTCTTGGCGGGTTTCTTCGACCCCTGATTTTTGGTGGGTGTTCCGACCCTGCGGTGCTTGTGTTGTCCGGAGATGTCTTCGCAATGATTCCTTTGTGGCAGCCGCCGTTGGCCGGCAGGTCCCCGTGGCGATTCTCTCTTCTCGCTTCGTTGGCGTTGTGCTCGCTGGCGACAAAGGACAAAGCTTTTCGTTTGTTTGTTGGGTCATCAGTTTGCGGACACACTCTGCAACAAATTCCAGGGGAGGGGGACGGTCTTCGTCGATCCGGACTGCCCGGGGACGCTTGTCCGAAGTGTGGTGGCGGCGGCGGTTGCTGGAACGGGAACGGTCCAGGGAGGGAACCCGCAGCCTTCGAATGGTCCGAGGACTCGGCAATCGGTCGGTTCTTTTGGTTCCACCCCTTGCTTCCGGGTTTGTGGTTCCGACTTCTGCGGCAAGGGAGAGTTTCGGTGGGACGAGAGGGCGAACAACGCTCTGGCACGGCGGTGTGGCGTAGGTAGGCGAAACCGTCGTTTGTGTTTGCAGCACGGGCATGCTGGACACCAAAGACTCGCAAAAGGTTTCGTTCCGTGCACGGAGCAACACCGGTGGAGCCAATGGTTGGTCACCACTGTTGCTTTCATCGTTGCTTTCTTTGTTGCCGCCGTGGGCGTCCCCGCTTGTGGTTTTGTCCTTGCCCGAGAGCGGGGGAGGCAGGGAAGGAGGCATCGAACCACTCCCACTCAGAGCAAGGCCATCGGTGGATGCTTTGTTGTTGTTGCTTGTGCTGCTGCAGGCGTTTGCAAGGCGACACCGCTGGAGGAATCGTCTCTTCGCACCTCCCAACCGGGAGGAAGAAAACAAGATACTACGAGGTGGTGTTTTTCGATCGTTCCCGGATGCCGCGGGAAGAGCCGATGGTCGTTCGTCTTGCTTCGGTGTAGAACACGTGGTCCAGGACGTGCAAGACGACGATGGGGAAGAAGAAGAAGAAGAGCCTCTCCCGTCCGCAACCAACGATGCTTCCGCACTGCCCTCCCCGTTGCTGCTGCTGCAGCTAGCGTTGCGGCCATGGACGAGACTCCCGAATCCGGGCTTCGAAAACACGTCCAGGTTGGTCGGATCGGTGGGATCCATGATTCGGCAAAAGCCCAGCTGGTTGAGCCGCCTAAGAAAGGAGGACATCTTTCGGATCCCAAACAGCCGGTACACGGCGCCCGTCTTGGCAAAGGTCTTGGAACAGACAATCGTAAAGGGAGTTGCGTGTGTCTGCTGGTGGTCCTCTTCCTTTGGAAGGCTCGCTGTTGCCCTTTGGCGGCGGTCGGGCATCCAGCACAAGAGGTGGGAGTAGCGCTGGCAGGGATCGTCCAGGATGGACCTCAGCCGCGACAAAAAGCCCTCGCGGGTGCAGCAGTGCGCCGCGGTGGGGGTGGCCAGCACCAGCGGTGGATGGTCCGCGGAAGGCCACACGGCGGTTTTCGTGCCTGCGGTGCTTGGAACGGTGCCTCGAACGGTGCCTGGAACGGTGCCTGGAACGGTGCCTGGAACGATTCCAAGGGTGCCACCTTTTTGGGAATCGGCACGCCCCGATCGGGTCTCGTCCACCAAGCTCCGTGGCTGTTTGGGCGTCTTCGAATCATTGGCAACAACCGCAACCGAAACCGCAACCGAAACCACTGCCGAAGAAGGGGGCGAGGGAGTCGGAATGGCGGGKGGKGATTCGTTCGTTCTCCCTTCCTTTTGTGGCTCTCGAGATTCCCCGGATTCTTGGCCGGTCTCTGCGGTCGGAGAGGGCAGGCGATGCATGCGTTTTTCTTCGTTTTCGTTTTCGTCTTCGTTTTCGTCTTCGTCTTCCTCTCCGTGCATCGAACGCGGTGGTGGGATGTTTTGCCGTGGGCATTGGCGTGGTGGTTGGGCAGGAAGCACCCGCGTGTCCTGCGGTGGATCGGGATTCGCGTGTGCGGGCTCGTGGCCGTCTTGCACAACACGCTGCATCGCGACGCTCTGATCGAAAAGAGTGCTGGCGACATCGACCAGCGCCTCGAGGGAAGATTTTGGCCCGTGGTTGTTGCGGTTCTTGTTCTGCTTGTGGCTTTGCTCCTTTAAGGGCTCTCCGATTTCCTCCGGTCGAATCGTCCTTGGGACGGCAGCTACCTCAAAGCTGCTGCAGCTATTGGAGACGGGGAGGATCATGTTATAGCTTTTGTTTCGTTTGGGAGGAGAAGGAGGGCGGTCGCTCGTGTGTGTTCACTGCTACAGAAATCTTCGATTTGTGTGTTGCACGAACGGGATCGATCTTGCTGCTTTGCTCTGTGATGGAAATGGTGGTGTTGGATGGATGGATGGATGGATGGATGGATGGATCCTCGAGCCAACGATCGGTGAGTGATCAATCGACGTTTGTCGGGCAGTGATCCACGGAGGTGCGATTCAGACTGGTTTGGTGTGGAAGTTGTTTTGTTTTGCGTTGTTTTGTTTTGCGTTGCGTTTTGTACAGTAGGTTCTCTTGGCGATTGGGGCGACAAATACTTGTTTCGTTGCTGCCTGTTGTCGTTAAATGAAGAACCAACGCAACTTAGTCCAAGCAATCTTGGAACGACCGTAGCTCACGTGTTGTATTCGTTTGCGAAACAAGGCAACATCAACTAGTAGGACATACGCCAATGGTAGGAACTGCAACTATCGAATCGAATCGAATACTACTTGAATACTGTCGAGCACAGCCGAGCAACAACGGAATGCGCTACTCGCACCGGTAGTAGGTTGCGTGAAAACAGATAGGAGATCGCTTTTCGAGCAATTGCCCGGGGAGGGTTCATACGACGCTCTACGTTCCTCCGCGGGTATGCATTTTATCTAAAACCACGTCCTGCCATCTCGCACTGGTAGTAGTATAGTAGAGTATACTCGGACTCGTACCCGTGGGTACCGTACTACTGTGGACCAGTATTGAACTATCGGAACCCAACTTTCGGATTTTTGCCAATCGTCGCGTATCGTAACAATGGGAGCAGAGGTCCATACAAAATACGTACCCAACGCAAACTACGACTGCTGCGGGTTTAGAAGGAGCACACTGAACTATCTTTGTATGCCCCGCTCATCCCCAGCGGCGCGGAGCACACTCCACCTATCAACGCTCGCTCTGTACGCATACTACTCGTACCCGTATACCGATACACACTTTGTAAACCCTAAAAAATCGATAGCGAACCGTTACATTGCGTGTGGCGACACACAAGAAAAAACGCGGCCGGTGGATCCGGGATCCATAACGGTTAATTTATCGTTACCATTTTGGAAATCCAGACTTCTTGCTTGAAAAGTACAGCATGTACGTACTAGTACGTACTAGTACAACAAAAACGACGACTACTACTACTTCTTCTACTTTCGTACCGTACGTATGATCATATGATCAATAGCTTCTTAGCAATGATAAGTATTCGGTGTGGCCTTAATTTTAGTAACGCAACACTACGAGTACGTGCTATCAGTACGTACTCGTACTTATTTACTACTACTACTATGAGGAGTCAAACGTCAAACCAGCAGTTCGGAGTCAAGGATTTGGATTTTCAAATCTAGTAGATTCGGGGGGCAGCAGGCAGCCATCCCCCCCCCGTTCAAAATTTTGAGGGAGAACTAACGGGAATGACCTCGTGCCGCCTCGCAAGGTTTTAGAGAGTATCGACGTACGGACGAGAGATCAAAAAAATTGAACACTGACACGACGCTTGCACGCACATTCGTCCTTTTGTACCAATCGCAAAACATACCGGTATTTTCTGTAAAACCGTTGTTGCAAAATTTTCACCCGCCACGCCATTTCGATTAAGTAGATTATGGCGATTCTGTGCGAAGCATAGAAATACTTCAAAAGGGAATATATTTCACAGAACCTAAAATTAACGGTTAGATTTTGTGAGAGGCTTGCTCACATTTTAGATCAACCGTTCGATCAGAAAAAACGTTCTCGTGAATTCTGATGGTTCACGGCTCCGGTACACACGGAAACGGGACTATCAACTTGTGTTATTCCCTAAAGTTCTATCACACCTCCTAGTAGCGACAATATATTTACATACAAATATCGGTTTTCTCGAACCAACAAAGACTCTGCACACACACTAAAAGCCGCAAAGACAAGGAGGGAAAGAATACGATAAAAGAAAACTAGAGAGACGATGAAATTCTCGACGACGACGGTGACGTGCTGCCTGTTTGCTGTAGCAGTGCGGCGTTCGAACTACAAGTTTGCATCTGCCAGTGCGGTAGTTGAAAGCGACAACACAGGCAACGAAAACGAACGCGATCTGATCTCACTGAACGGAAGTTTCTTTGGCATCCCGGCGCCAACGCCAGCGACACTAGCTCCGGTGTCAACAGAAGAGCAGGACAAAAAGGACGAAATCTCGGGACGATACAAGAAAGTTCCAAAAATGCCTTCTCCTTACCCAGCGCCAGAGCCCAATCCTCCCAGAAACGACGAACCGACTCCAAACCCCACACCACGACCGACGCCCGTGCCAACTCCGCGTCCAACACCAAGAAGAACTCCGGAACCAACACCGTACCCAACGAAGCCACCTGTAGAGTATAAACCGTACTATCCTACCTATAAAAGACCTACCATTCAAACAAGGCAACCAACACCCGAACCAACCCCGGCTCCGACCCATAAACCTACGGTAAGTACAATCGTGATTGCAAAAATTCGGGGGGAGCACCTCTGCATCCAAAGATAGCAAGAGCAGTCATGTCGAGAGAGATTTGAACTTGACTCATCGAATGAATCGCATTCTTTTGATTGTTCTCGATCGATTCCAGTCGCATCCAACGGCAAGGCCTACATCAAGGCCTACCGATCATCCGACGTACAATCCAACACCGGGTCCCACCCCGATGCCAACTTCTCAACCGACGAGGCCCCCAAGTGCCTCTCCAACTTCGTTGCCTCCAACTCATAACCCTACCAGAAATCCTACACACAGTCCGACTCCGCGTCCTACCCTTTCTCCGACTGCTTCTCCCTCGGCAAAGCCCACCGGAAAACCGTCGCCCCTCCCCTCCCCTGCACCTACTCCGAAGCCCTCACCAGCGCCGACGATAAGCCAGGAACCCACGACATTGATACCTTCTATGGAACCGTCCGAGAATCCAACTCAATCGGAAGAGCCATCGGACAATCCTACCGCATCGGAAGAACCGTCGGACAATCCCACCGCATCGGAAGAACCTTCCGAGAATCCAACTCAATCGGAAGAACCTTCGGAGTTCCCCACACAAAGCGAGGAGCCCTCCGAAAGCCCAACGATTGTGTTTCGATTCCCTACTCTGTTCAGCCTCTGTATGTAAATTGGGAGATGTTTGTTTGTCGCCAGCACTGCGTTCCAGCGAAGTTTTACCGACAACGAAACGCAATCCTTCCCACCGCTTCTAACTTTTTTTCTGCCTTTGTTTCGACTTCTTCTCTATTGGATAAAATTCAAGACGAAATCGTATGCAGCGAAGCAAACGCAAACATTTTTAGCGACTTTTGTGACTTGATCAACGCCGTACCCGGATTGGGACGACTGCTCGGCCAATCCTTGTTTGGGCGCAAGCTTCAATCGGGCGCAAAACGATACACGCTATTTGCACCCACCAACAATGCCTTTGAGTTTTACGACATTCCACTTCCCGATCTAACCAATTTAACGATTGACGACAAAAGGCTCGTGAAATTCCTCGCAACGTACCACATTGTTGAAGACTTGTATGATTATGATGAATTGGATTGCAATCAGAAATTGACTATGTACAATGGGCTTGAATCACAAACACGGTGCAGCATCAAAACCACGGGAATAAATATCGGAGTGCAGCAAAAATTTCAGGTCGGTACCGACAGCCAAGCGTTTGGAGATGACAACGAGGACGTGGTTCTGAGCAAAGCGGATGCAAGAATTACGAACAAGAACGTCGCAGCCAGCAACGGTATCCTTCATGCTGTGAATCGATTCATCCTGCCCAATTTGACGATATACGAAACCGACGTTCCTACCAGCGAACCTTCCGACTCACCTAGTTCGTATCCAACCTCAGGGACTACGTTTTCCACAACTTCGTTGGAACCATCCGGAGTAATTAAGCCTCCGAGTCCGGGTCCCGTTCAGCCTCCTACTGAAGCTCCTACCAAGAGTCCCAGCAAGGCTCCCAGCAAGCCTCCCAGCAAGCCTCCAAGTAAGCCTCCCAGTAAGCCTCCCACCGTGAATCCCAGCAAGGCTCCCAGTGCAGAACCTTCCCCGGCCGCCAGTGATGATCCTACCGTGGGTGGGTCTGAGGTTCCCAGTGAGGCCCCAAGTGAGGCTC